TTCGACAGCCTTCTAATTCTCACTGGTAGAAGAGATGTGAATTCTCAGTAGAGATGGATGCGTCTCTTTACTTAAAGGCACGCGGACTGCCTCTGCTTCATGATTCTTCTTGTTTCTCTGGTAACACTGGCCAGATTAAATGTGATGACCCTGATTCCACTTGCTAATCATAGTCCTGAAACAGGAGTGGTGACGCCTGCTTGCTGGCCACGATTTTCACCTCCCAGCTTCCCTCCACGGTGGCTCAAAAGGTGACGAATCTGCCGGCAATGCGGGAGACTCAGGTTCAGTCCCTGGGTCGGGAAGATCCCCTGGAGAAGGAAATGGCAACCCACTCCAGTATTCTTGCCTGGAAAATTCCATGGACAGAGAAGCCTGGTAGGCTACAGCCTATGGGGTCACAGAAAGTTAGACACAGCTGAGCGACCTTCACTTCAGATACTTCATAATTATATCATATTCTTATCTTAAACTTAGCAGCAGTCTTAAACTTTAACAGCAAATATCTGCTCTAGTAGCTGTTCCATGTCTAAAATGCCCAGGAAGCATTGATCCTCTGTGGACCTTGTCCCCAGACGCCCCATCTCCTGCCAGCACCACACCAGAGGCAGAGTTCACAGAGCATCAGGTCAGTAGTCCCTGGAGCTGTGATTCTCAAACTTGACCGTGAGCTAGGATCAGCTAGGGGATAAGTTCAAAAATGCAGATTCCTTGGCCCCGCCCCTCTAAACGATGATCAGAAAGGTCTGGGTGATCCAGTGGTTAAGCATCTGCCTTCTAGTGCAGGGGACACGGATTCGACCCCTGGTTAGGGAAGACCCCCACCATGCCACAGAATAACTAAGCCTGTGGGCCACAATTACTGAGTCTGAGCTCGAGCCTGCAAGCTGCAACTACTGAGCCCACTGAACTAGTTGAGCCTTCGTGCCTAGAGCCCATGCCCTAGTCGCCGTTCCACACGAGAGGCCACCGCGGCTAGAGGCACCGCAGTGAGGAGTCCTCCCTGCTCCCCGCAACGGGAGAAAGGCCGTGGACAGCAGTGAAGGCCTGGAGCAGCACCAAAAGTAATAACAAATCAGTAAATCTTAGAAAGAAAAAAAAGGTCTGGGTGGGGTCCAAGGCGTGTGCATGTTTATTCGACACCAGAGAGTGTAGTCCGAGTCCCAGACACACCATAGGTGCTCACGCTAGGCGCACACTGTAGGTCCTCGGTGGATCGGCCACCCGGTGGGTGCTCCCACGGCCCGTCTCCTGGGCCGCACACAGCCCTCTGCCTGCATGCCAGCGCCTGGAGCTGGACTGGGACCACAGACTTGGAAAGTCAGGGCCTCGCTCTGGGAGATGCCAGGCTAACCACATGGCGCTGCTGGTGGAAGAACCTGCTGCCAGGGCAGATTTAGAGACACAGGTTAGATCAGGAAGATCCCCTGGAGGAGGGCACCGCAGCCCACACCAGTACTCTTCCCTGGAGAATCCCCATGGACAGAGGAACCTGGCAGGCTGCAGTCCATGGGTTGCACAACGTCGGATACGACTGAAGTGACTTGGTACACACACTCTGGAAGAGCCCACACCTTCCTCACCACGGCGGGTAAGCCCACCGCTCCAGCTTTAATTCAGGGAATTAAGACCAGAGATGCTGGCTGCAGCTGTCTCCTCGGAGCTCACTCACCTTTGCACTGCAGTTTTCCTTGGTGATTAGCCACGCCTGCGCTTGACAACCTCCAGTTGGGAAAACCATGTGTGTGGTCTGGCCTTTTGTAAACTTCTCTCTGTGGACCCAGGAGCCCAGGATCCTTGATGGATAGTGATTCACACCCAGGGTGAAAGTTGTATACCCCCGTTTTTATACATGGCGAACATAACTCATCTTTCAGGCACATGAACTGCATTTACCTGCTGTGGTGCTTCAGCGAGTACGTCCAAAAAAGGAGCACGCGCGACTGCAGCGCCCGGCTGATGCCGTCCTCCCCGTCTGGAGTCCACAGCAACGCGTTCAGAGGAGTGTGCTAACCCCTGAAACGTGGGGGAAAGACTCCCATTGCCTTTGAGCCATTTTACTGAACAGAATCATTCGAAAGGAAACCTTTGACGGCATGACAATTTCCTTAAAGAGTCGTAGGGGACCCTGTGCATATAATGTTCTCCATTACAGGCGTGAGGGATGCTGTCCCTTACAGCATGAATCCTGAACGGGGGGAAAAGCCAAGTCTGAGTTTCAGTTATGAAAAGACGGAGGGCGGAAAAGAGCATGTAACCTGGCCTCTGTCTTCTGTGACTTTCAGGCTTTCTCTGCTTTCATCCCCTAACTAATAAACCAGCAGGAAGGGGAAGGGTGGGCTGAGAGCAGAGCACCAGGGCTGCGTGACCTGGAAAGGCCCACGCCTGAAGCCTGCTTCCTGCCGTCCAACAGCACCTGCTCTTCCCCTCCCGAGTGGCCCAGCTAAGCTAGAACAGTCTTGTCTGTCCCCCCAAAGAGACACACTCAAGAGAGCTAAAGCAGTGTTCCCATTGCTGCAAAATAATGAAGTCCGCCTGCTTCAACATTCATCAATTTTATATGAAGCAAAATCTTTTGCCCAATCCGTGCTTCCTGCAGGCATCAAACCGCCCTCCTTGAGTGTCTGCACATGTACGGATTTTGTTCAGTATCTTTTCCATGTTACTTTGCCAGTTGGAGACTCTGACTGGCAAGTTTTGAGCTTTTGTTTTGGTGGGAGACCTCTAGCTTTTTCTCTAACTATCCAAATACAATCAGGATGCCATTCATGAGACGTCCTAGAGCATAGGGTCTTGTGTTAATGACTCACCGACATAATGTCTTAGCTTCCCCTGTAGCTCAGATGGTAAAGAATCTGCCTGCAATGCAGGGGACCTGGATTCGACTCCTGGGTCAGGAAAATCCCCAGAAGAAGGAAATGGCAACCCACTCCAATATTCTTGCCTGGGAAATCCCATGACGAGAGGAGCCTGGTGGGCTACAGTCCACGGGGTCACAAGAGTCGGACGTGACGGAGCGACTAAACCACCAACATAATCTAAAATAAAAACAGGCAGCACGATTTTGTGCTGTATGGTCACTATAACAAAACCTTTTTGTTCATTTCATCGAATATTTAATGAATCTGCCCGAAGGACAGAACACTTGGCTTGCTGCTACAGAGGCAGAGCTGAACAATCTGTAGTCACTCTCTCCAGAAACAAGAGAAGGCCCTTCAGAAAACAAGGTGTAACAGGAGCAAAGACAGACAAGGAAAGTTTTTAGACAGTCAGTCATCCACTTGTGCGTGCGTGTGTGTGTGTGTAATCCAGAATCGTCAGGTTCCCCTGAAAAGCAGAGGCTAGAATTGTAGATTGGGGCCATGAAGAGGAGGACCCTACACTGCAGGGTCAGCTCTGGGATGTTAAATAACCTGCCAAATACCCACAGATATAGACGCCTGAGCTGGGTGTCCAGAGTCTCACGGGGTGCCACTGTCTCTGATACAGGAAGGCGTGCAGGAGCCAAGCTCCAGTTTGAGATTTCTCAACCCCAATCCAGTGTCATTTGGGGCCAGATACTTCTTCACCATGGAGCTTCCAGGGCACTGTAGGATGTTTGCAGCATTCTAGTCCTTCCAACCCCTCAGTTGTGACAAACACAAATGTCTCCAGAAACTGGTCACCCCTGGCTGGGAACCACCGCTCTAGATGATATAGAAATTTGTTTATATTCAACAACGTTTAATACATAACATAATATATAGCTCACATTCTAATACTGGTAAGCCACGTTCTGGCCTAGGACCAAACTGGGTAGTTGATTGAGAAGTATCTGAAAGTTGTTTATCCGTCTGGCTTTACCTCTTAGCTCAGCTGGTGCTAGTGGTAAAGAATCTGCCTGCAAGTGCAGGAGACACAAGAGATGCAGGTTTGGTCCCTGGGTCGGGAAGATCCCCTGGAGAAGGACATGGCTACGCACTCCAGTTTTCCTGCCTGGAGAATCCCATGGACAGAGGAGCCTGGAAGACTACAGTCCATGGGGTCGCAAAGAGTCGAACATGACTGACTGACTGAGCATGACTTATTCTCACTTCAGTTCAGTCGCTCAGTCGTTTCCGACTCTTTGCGACCCTATGGACTGCAGCATGCCAGGCCTCCCTGTCCATCACCAACTCCCGGAGCTTGCTCAAACTCATGTCCATCGAGTCGGCGATGCCATCCAACCATCTCATCCTCTGTCGTCCCCTTCTCCTCCTGCCTTGAATCTTTCTCAACATCATAAAGACTTACCTTAGCCTCCAACTAATAAAAATAAATGGGAAAAAAAAAAAAGACTTACCTTACTCAATATGATAATTTTTAGATCCGTCCATGTTGCTGTAAATGGTATTATTCCATTCTTTCTGTGACTGGGTAGCATTCCATTGTGCACACATACCAGGCCTCCTTCATCCATTCCTCTATTGATGTGCATTCAGGTTGCTTCCGTGTCCTGGCTATTGTATGGCAAATAGTGTTGTCATGAACACTGGGGTCCATGTCTCTTTCCGAATTAGAGTTTTCTCTGTATATATGCTCAGGAGTGGGATTGTGGGATCACACAGTAGCTCTATTTTTAGTTTTTAATGCAGAAGCCATTCCACTTCTCGTCCTGAGCTGACACTTGCTTCCTTCCCAGGGTGTTGTGAAGCCTTTCTAACTTGGGTTAGAGAGTTTTCTGAGCAGGTGAGAGTTTTTGAGACCAAAGGGGACCAAGTGGGGCGTGAATCAGCAGCATTTTCTCCAACACGAGAAGGACTCCGTCCACCGAATGGGAGAGGTGTCCCTGATTTGGCGCACAGAGCAGAGCCTGCGAAGGACAGCTTGGAACTTGCTTGGAGTGAGAACTTTACGACCTGAAGACACTGCTCTTGTGAATAATTTAAAACTGTCACTGAGTCAAGTTGTTCTTAAAAGAAAAAATTACTTTCACAGTCATGTTTAGCCATTAGTAATGATGCTACTCTCTTTTATTACAGGTAATGTATGAAGCTGTTGGAGCAATTGAAAAAAATAAAGACTCCCTTTCCCAGAATCTTCTATTTGTAATGAAAAGTAAGTCTCCCTCGTCTCTGGTTAAAATGCCACCCATTCTTTATGTCCCTGGCTCTGAACATGGTCCTGTGAAGTATGCCACCAGCTAAGGATAACTGAAATATCTTTTGCATTCTGATGCCCAGAATAATAAGGGGTGGGTCTTGCCACGCTACACTTTGGTTACAGTTTAATTTGGAGTCTAGTAGAAACCATAATTTAACTAAGCTTTTAGCAGATAGAAATATAAAACACCTTTACCACTCTGGCAATGTGAATATAAAAAAGCTCTTCTGTGCGGACTGATGAAGATGAATATGGTTTCCAGAGTTATTTAGGCCATAGCAGGGTGAATTCCATTACTTAAGATGACTCAGGAGTACACCTAAGGGTGGTATTTTATTCTTATGCACTTTTAGCTATAAAGAGCTGATGTTTATAAAGTAAAATGAGAGTGCAAATTTATATATACATGCACACATGCATATATGTATATAGCAATATAAATTTATAGGCAACAGCTACTTAGTGAACCTTAGTACTTTATAAATACATATTTATACGTGTAGTACTTTATATACATATAGTTATATATATATCTATAACCCTATAATATATGTAAAATGATGTACTGTATATATATAGAGTGTATTTATATGCATATATGCCCATATACAGATGTATGACATATAAATTCAATCCCCTTTAGTAATTATTTTATTAATAGCACTTCTGCAGTGATTCACATTTTCCTAATAACCTCTTCAACGAATTAAAATGTATCATCTTTTGTGCTTTAAGTTGCTCTAAATGAGATGAAGCCATTTATCATTCCTGGGAAAAGAAGCATATGATAGCCTTTCATGAAATAGTTGGATGCCTTTGAGCTGGAAACAAAACATCCGTTATCACTTCTGGCTTGAGGAACATCTTTACCTTAAATCAAATGGCAGAGTTGCAATCTACTGCTTTTCATGGAGAATGACTCCACTTGCCTCTCAGGATGTATGGTTATTGAGTTCTTTTAAAGGCTGAGGCTAATGATAAAAGCATGGACTTGGAATAATACCTCGTAAAAAAGAAAAGAATGAGATAGTTGATCTTATGATCACTGGAAATACCTTCCTTCTAGTTTTCAAATATTTGGACTTTCATTTATAACATACTTCAGTTTAATCCATGTATTTTATGAAGATCTAATGTACAGCACGTTTTCAAAGTTGGCACAGGAATATATATTTAGAATGGAAACAAGATAGTGTGTGTTATTGCAATTCTGCTTATCTTAATCGAGTCCTTATATTTTAAAGTTACTCTTTTGTGTATGCTTCCTGACAAGTGCCAAGAGAAAACAGGTGAATCTGATTTTAAATATTTTAGACTATAGATACATCTGAACATGAGCATAACATTTACAATGTGTCCTTATATGTTCATGCAAGAGGTGGCAAGCACTTTCTGCAAAGGGCTAGAGGATAAATATTTTACGCTTTCTGAGCCATAAGTTCACTGTTACAGCGACTCAACTCTGCTATGATAATGAGACTGTGGCTATAGACAATACATACGGATGTGGCTGTGTTCCAATAAAACTTTATTTACAAAAACAGGCAATGGGCTGGATTTGGCGCCCAGGCCACAGTGGCTAACCCATTCTGTCATATAAGCAAAGATGGAGGATTGAGATAGTGTTTTATGAATCTGTGGAATGTCCTGACACTGCAAACAGCTATTAAAAGAAAGTGTAGTTTACAGATAACAGTAATGTTTCCAGACACCTTGCTGAGTACTTTGCTTACAGCATCTGCTTTGCATCCTATTATCCATAAGCTCTGCTTGAGGAAGGAGGTGGGGTCTGGGGCAGGATCCTCGCCGACCTGGCGGGGTCTCTTGAGACCCGCCCAGTGCAGGCGGGAGCCGGGCGACAACAGCTTAAACAGAAAAGCAGCAGGCGTCCCCTGGGCGCCTGAGATGAGAAGCCAGGCCCACCTGACTCCAAAAGACGCAGAGAAGTTAAAATCCAGACTCTGCAGTCTGCTTAGCAGCAGAGGAAAGGGATTTACCGCCGATGATGGTGCTGGGAGTTCTGCAATCCTGCTTCACGACCGCGGGCACCTCGGTCAGCTCATCCCCTTTTCCTGGCAGGAAGGCGCCCAGAGCGCTGTGCGGAGACCCCAGCAAGAGGTGCTTCTCACTGCCGCGTGTGCATATGGGACCTGCAGGAAAATGCCCGCCGCGGGCGACTCCTAGAAATAGAGAGGGGAGGCCAGAGCTGCGGCTCCTGCGGGCCTTCCTCCCCGGGTTCCTGGGCGCGACGCCAAGGCCGGATGGCTCCGCGCACGCGCTCCGCCCGTGGGCGGGGCTTCGCTCCCCCCGCGGTGACGTGTCTCCATCACCGCGACGCTTCTCCCCTTGACCTTCACGCGGTCCCAGCCTGCGATCCAGAGAGGGGACAGACACCGTCAGTTATGTGTGTCCGTTCGTAGTCACGTCTAGGGTTGAGAGACTTAATAAGACACTTCCCCAATTACGGGGTTGCCTTGTTGCGCTGTATTATCCGTGGTTCCATTCATCCACAGACTAGTTAAAAATATAAATCATATTTTTAATTTAGTTAAACAGGTCGTGGCATTATATGTTTATTGTTTCACTGTTGTTTTGAAACAGTCTCAGACTTAAGGAAAAGTCGCAAAATTAGTGCAAAGAACTCCCATATGCTCTTTTTCCAGGCTGACTTTTTTCGTTTTCTTCCTTTTTCTCTCTTGCTATCTCCTTCCCATCTGTGTATGTGTGTACATTCTCTGAACCACAGGAGAATGGCCAAAGGTTGTTTTCCTGCCCAAATCCTTTGGTCCATATCCTGAGACCAAGGACGTGACCTCCATAACCCCAGGAAACAATCAGACTATTAAATATTGATATGACACGAGTTTCTAATTCAGAGTTCATGTAACACTTTACTGATTATCCCCCAAATCTCTTTCAGAATGATTTCCCCCCCAATCAGGATCATTTGGTGAGTTTAGTTGCCGTTTCTCAGTAGTCTTCTTTAATCTGGGACACTTCCTCAGCTTTTCTTCTTGACATTAATATTTTAAAAAGTGGAAGACCAGTTTTTGAAGAATGTCCCTCAGTGTGGGCTTATTTGCTGTCTCCTCACGTTGGAATCAGTTCCCACCGTCTTGGCAGGAGCCCCACGGAGGTGATGATGTTTCCTTCTGAGCACGTTGTGTTCCAAAGCTCACAGTGACCTTCACCTTGGACACTCTGTCCTTCAGAGTTCCCTAGCGTCACTGTTTTCTATTTGTAACTGATAAGTCATTTATAAAGAAGTGTTTAGCACAAACTTTCACCCGTTGGTTTTGACTGAGGCAATGATTCTTGCCTAAATCAGTGATTTCTCTTTTGGTTACAAAAGTGTGATTTTTCTAACCCCATCTTCAGCAATGACATCCTGCTATAAGAACTCTCTGATAATTCACCCATCAATCTATTCATTCATTATCAGTGTGGACTCATGGGTTGTTATTTTATTTAAGGGACACAATTCATCACTGTCATCATTTTGATACTAAAATTGCCCAAGACTTAGCCAGTGAGAACTCCTCCATGCTGGTTCTTGTGTTCTTTTGACAGGTTCTTTCACCTTTTTTTTAGCACTGTTTTACATTCTGGCTTTCCAAAATATTCTGAGATCTTCTACCTTACCTCACATCTTAAACTAGCCACTCACCCAAGAAGCCTTATTTTATAAACGAATAGTATGAAGAAACTAAGAAATGGGGGCAGGGTGAGCTCATTGCAACTGGAGTCTCACTGCTTTTAGACCCGTTCAGAACTAGAAAATTTAAGATGTATGTATAAATTTTATACACACACATATATAAAACTGTATATTAAAAATCATGAATTTATTGTGATTCCCAAAACTTAAACCCGTAGCCACAAGGTTCCTGTTTGCCTTCCTGCAATCCATAATTGTGTCTTCCCTTCTCTGTCCCTTCTCCTGGGTCGCTGTTTGTTTTTTTTTTTAATTCGTGCAGTGACTTTTCACTGAATGCACTGCTAATAAATATATTAGCTGGGCAAGTGAAATAATCTGAGTGTGGAAATGGGAGAAACTAAACCACTTTGCTTCTGGCCATTGCTGACTGTCCAGTGGGCTGAGACTGATCCCAAACAGTTTATGCATGTTACATCATTCTTGTAGAAACCCACAAAGTAGGTCCTCAGTGGTTATTTTATAGAAAAGGAAATTAAGACTTAAACATGGCCTGTGTACAGATATAAATAACACGAGAAACATGCCTTCTAGGTCCTTAACTGACAGACATGGTTCTCACTTTGACTGTTCAGATTTGCCACCAAAAATCCATTCATTCATGCAACCTTTTCTCCTTGAGGTGTCAGGAAAGACATATAGACCCAGGATTACTAGATTTTTTGTAACCTGACGTCTAAAAGTTACCAACTTGCTTTCATGTTTGCAGCATAACTGGATCAGAAAAAGAGGCACCTCTTCCCCCAACAGCAGAGACAGCCAAGTGAATCAGGGGCTCCCCGGATGTCTACAGACGCCCTGAGAGCTTCCTCCTGGGGCTGTGGGCTCCTGGCAGTTATTTTCCTGGAACAGAGAGCTGATAATGGAAACCATAAGTCTTCATGACTTGGTCAAGTGCACTGAGGTCTCTTAGGTCTGAGCAGGTCCGATCCGGTTCTGGATATTAGGAGAGCAGCACGTGCCTCTGAATTTGAGAGCAAAGGTTTCAGGGCGCAGGACGGGGGCAGGAAGAGTTTGGGTTCCAGACTCCAGGTGGAGGGCAAAGAAAGTCAAAATCCATCAAACGGTGTGCTGGGTAGTAGGGAAAATAAAAAGAAAAAGGGCAGAAGGAAATGTAGATTCCCTCCCCACACAGAACATTTTGGTGGTTAGAGTGCTAGGATGAGGAGTAAGCTTAGTGCTTGCGTAAATTGCGATTCTAATGCCACTTACAATATCATTTATTTATTTCCCAGCTAGTGAAAATGTCGTGATCAATCATTTGTTCCAGTCGAAACTGTCACACACAGGAGCCCTCGTATCTTCCTCTCCTTCTTTTAAATTCAGAGGACGTAAATCTGCCCGGCTCAGTAGGAAAATGACAGCGTCTTCAGTGATGGGAGAAAACAGGAATTATCTAGAACTTAGTAAGGTAGGAGTTCTTTATGATCTGTATCCAGTTGTTTTTAAATTTGCTTGGCACATTTGCTTCTTCTTTTAAAGAACAACAACAAAAAAATGCACAGTCCTCTATGCTAATGGAAAGAAATTGATATTTTAATTTAACATAATTAATGGAAAGATTGCTTACCTAAAGTATAACCCTTGGGGAGAGGATGGTATGAGAGAATGCAGTGGAATGAAAACATGATAACAAATACAGGATTAGGCATTTTATTGGCTGTCTTTGCAGCATCCTTTTTAAGTCTCATCTCTGCGACTGTGTTTTTGATGAATGGGAGGTAACTTCGGGGACAGAAGGTTTAAAGGGAATAAACTTAGCTACCTTATTCCGTTGACATTAATCACTTCAGAGGTTTTAGGTCTCTAAACAATAAATTGTAGTTTCTCATACAGACATAGTCTATTTTTCAGGTCCTGGAGTGTTTTCACTGTGTTTTGTAGATTTTTAACTTATTTTAGCATTACGCTAATTTTTTAATGTGTATTCGTTCCACACCCGCAAGGTTGTACTTACAACCTAAAGATTTTGATGATTTGTAAAAATAGAATAAAAAATTCAGTGAAGAGTTGTTTCAAACTGAAATGCATTGAGTTTATGAATTCAGTGCCAGTTTGTTTTGCTTGCCTTTACAAAAACTTTAAAAGAGGAGAAGGACGGTTGGGAAGGGGTCCAAGATGATGCATTTTAGAAATTCAGTCGTTGTAGCCTGCTGGAATGCATTTTTGCTTTCCAATTAAAATAAAAGCATGATTAAAATCAGCTCTGTTACAGAAGAGTGGCAGAAATGTGTACAGCAGAGATGTGTGTGTGTGTGTGTGTGTGTGTGTGTTTAGCCGGTAGACCCTAGAGTTCCGGATCTTTTGATACAGTTGTTGCCTAACTGGAGGATCACAGGAATTCCATCTCACTGCATATTAAAATGGCATCTTTTACTTAAAAAAGACAAAGAGTTCCCCTTTGTAAGGAAGATCTCTATTCCTGGGGGTTTCGCTGAAACTTCTGGCCCCTGCTTTCTCAATCATCCTGGAAATCATGAGCAAGAAATCACCACACACCTCCAAACTGTAGTTTCTAACCTTAATTATTAAACACGATGAGGCATAGATGCCGTTATTCTTTCACCTAAAGGACTCCAAAAGCGAGAAAATTCTCAGCCTTTCCTCCACCCAGAAAGGGAAATTGAGTGCTCAGTTTCACAGGATGAAGATTTATTTATTATGGTTTTTCCTTAAGTGCTCCATCCTTCACTTCCCTCTGAGGGTCCTCACCCCTGCACACACACCCCTGTGATCAGAGGGTTGCTCTCTACCCACCCTTCAACTGAGCATCACGCCCAGGTTTGTGTTTATAGAAAACAGGCTGATCTTCGACCAGTCACTTCATTTTCCCTTCCCTTGTCAGCTACACTTGATCATTCTAGTTTGACACTTCATCTTAATGGGAGGAAATGAGCTACTGCCTTGATAGCAGCACCATATTGACCAGAATGTTTCATCAAATTTTTCTTCTATCGAGACCTTTTAGTTTAAGATAAATGATTCTCAATCGATAGATCTGTTGGTCGCAGTCTGTATGATGTTGTGAAATGTAACAGTACATTAGTGGCTGAGGCTCCTCTTGACCCCTGGTAGAATTTAATTAATTACCTTCTGTTCTTTCTTTCTTCACCCACTGCCTTCATTTTCACTTATTCTTTTATATCCATAATCATTTCATTTTTATTGCACGTGAATCTTTTTTTTAAGAGCTATATATAATTACTCATCAAAAAAGTCTACCATCATTTTTCATATCATTTTATTAACCTCTTGTAACATTAAAAAATGAAGAAGAAGAAAAGGAAGGGAGAAAATGAGTAAGACACTGATTATAGTTAACTTAGGGAACAAAGCAATGATTACTAAAACAATGAATTTTTGTAACATAAAATAGTGTCCTTTTACCCCAGAATAAGCTACATTTCATGACAAACAGTTAGTAATATAATAAAGGAGACCAGGCTCAGTTTATTGTACCACCAAGCTAGTCAACATCTGTTTATTCTCAAATTAAAATAGTTGCAGGTTGGTGACAGCCATGGACTTAAAAGGATGCAGTAAAGGTTATTTTACATGTAGTTGCCTATTTTCCTACCATTGCAGAAAATCACTTGGTGCTGATTTTTATAGCCTGTTTTAAATCTCCATCTGCCTGTGAGTGAACTTGCACGAATGGGAGGGTTACTTTTTTTTCTTCTACACTGGGACTTAGTAAAATAAATGTGCTCATGCTTCCCTTTTGTTTCATTACAGTTATTAAAAAAGAAAGGAAATTCTACATTTCTTCAAAGACTAGACCGAGGAGGTCCAGCCACCATTGCGTCACAACTCAGGGTTAGTGAAGTTTCCCGATTTCAAAATTTTCCATTTTGATTGTATCAACTGTAAAGGTTTTACATGGAATTTTCTTCCATTTTGACCATTTAAGTGCTTCAGAAAAGTAAGCATGCACACACGTGCACACACGTGAAGTGCGTGAATGCATAATACATAAGAATCATGGACTGAAGATACAAGTTTTTATTTGAACATTGCTCTGCTTCGTCAGTTGGTGTCTTCTTTGGAGAATCAGTTGTGTTTTACTTCTCTTCTTAGAAAACTCTGACGGATATCACTGGGAAACTTCAGAAGTGCAGTCCACACTTTATTCACTGCATCAAGCCCAATAACTCAAAGCTGCCAGACACCTTTGATAACTTCTACGTGTCCGCGCAGCTGCAGTACGTTGGGATCCTGGAGATGGTGAAGAGCGTCCGCCATGGGTACGCTGTCCGCCTCTCCTTCTCCGAGTTCCTGTCCAGGTAGGTTTTTCTGTCGTGTCCACCATCCCCAGAACTTGTGACGTTACTGTAAGTGGACCTTCTGATTGCTTTTCTGGCATTTCTTCTATTGTTCATAATCTTTTACCATGAGTAAACAAAGTGCTCTCGGAAACCGTGAAATGCGCTGACAGAGCTTATATAAAAAGCTTTTAAATTTACTGAGGACAGTCACTTGGAAACAATTTTCATAGCTCCTTAAATTTAGGTTCCCTTGGATTTAAAGATTTATAAAACTGTTGCTTATAATATTGACTTAAAATTATAATTGAATACAAGAAGCTATGTGTGGGATTATTTTCTCCTTAAATGTATGAACAAAATATTTTTTTTAGGTCGAGGGTTGGCACTGATGGGCCAAATTTAGCTGATTATCTATTCTTTGTAAATGAAGTTTTATTGGAACACAATGAGAATATCTTGTTTTTTTAGGCAGTCAAAACAATAAGAGCAGTGTGGGCAAAAAAGAAAGTATTTGGTAATCTTATATAAAAACATTAAATTTAAAATGATATTGATATAAAGTAATATCAATGTTATAAGCCGAAAATTTAACATTGATGGATAAAAGCTAGTTGTACAACAGTAGTATGGTGAAATCTACTTGGCAAACCGTTTATCGAAAAGAAGAGAGTTTAAGACTTTGGTTGAGCAGCAGAACAGCTGGAGCCACCGGTGTGGAGAAGCTGCCCAACTCAGACAGCCTGTCAACCGAAAGACTTAAATCACCAGGTTGGAAATAGCCATATCAAAGGGTATAACATTTGAACTATGACTAAACTTAATTTTTATAACCTTTGTTTTTTCCAGAGGGCAGAAATAGAAGTTGTTTATTGTGTATTTTAAATTTCCCAAAGACACAAATAAGGAACTGAACATCGTATGAGCTATTCATTGCTAGAGAAGTGATAGACTGTTCAAAGGGGAAGATAAGATTCGCCGCATTTAGGGGTAAAGTAGCTGGAGAATGAACATGTTTAACCTGCAGAATATATAGTGCAGATAGACGAGATATTTGGTTTAAATGTAAAAGATGCTTATTCATGAGCGAAGAGACACACTGTCTCCTATTTATAGGGAGGAACCGCAAAGTTGGGCAGTACACAGGGCTACACTGAGAGTGAATATGTGCTGAATGTAAGGATTATTTGTGCTTTTGTTGGATGGGGACGGTGGTGTTACCATCACTGCTTGTTCTACACCGAGAGGTGTCTGGTAGCTCTGATCAGCCTCTTTCTGTTCCCTCAATGGACATCTGTTTATAGTCTCCAGAAATGTTTGGTCTGTTCATGAGTATTTGTGGACAACCTTTAGAGAACCAACACCCTAGAACATCTACTCACTTGGAGATTATGTCTTTATTTTATTTGGTTTGATTTTCTTCAACCAAGGACTGGATGTATGTGAGTGCCTTGATAATTATCAAAGGGAACTTGCTGAGGATGCAAAGTGGAAGTATTAGTTGCTCAGTCTTGTCTGACTCTTTGCAACCCTATGGCTGTAGCCCACCAGGATCCTCTGTTCAAGGGATTCTCCAGGCAAGAGTATCAGAGTGGGTAGCCATTCCCTTTTCCGGGGATCTTCCCAACCCTGGGATTGAACTGTGGTCTCCTGCACTGCAGGCAGATTCTTTACCAGCTGAGCCACCAGGAAGTCTCAGGCATTTACTGATTTACTGGATTAAAACTTGCACATTTGTTGAGATTTCCAAGATCTGTGTACAGTTGAAGTTTCTGGAGCACTGTAAATGGATTCCGTATTGGATATGAAATAGGATTAATCTCACTGTATAAACAAGTTTTTAAAGCTCATTCAATGCATTCTCTGCTCTTTATTTTGTTAGAGTGTTTTAGACTCATGCAGTCAGAGAAAGTTGGCTTTAAAGTGTCCCTCAGAGTTTCTCTGGAACAATGTTTAATAGCTGCATGGATCTTTCTTATAGCTACTCCAGCAAGTGGTCACTTAAATTGTCCTATTTTCCCAGAAGAGAGTGGAGAACATGAGTCTGTGTGTGTATACAATATTATATGGTATAATATTAGGAAAATTTTTGACGTTTATTTTTGTCTCATTTGATAGATATACATATATACTTACCAAGACTTATCTCTATTAAAATAGTGTTTGTAATGATTATCTGTTAAAATTAAGTACCCTTTTCCACATATTCCACATTTCTTACTTTATTCTGACTTCTAGACAGAGACTTTCTCTTATTCAGTCACAATGCATGTGCATTTATCTGTTTAGTCAATGTTTTCAGAATGAAGCTGGCATTGGAGGTTAATAGTTGTTCAATTTAAAGTACTGTTTCTGCATAACAAAGAGCATAGCTATACTATATTTGCTTGGAAAATGATACCTTTTGGTAAATCTCTGCATTTCTTAACTGGTGCCTTACATAAAAGGAGATGTGAGTTTCAATTTATCATCCTTATTTATTATTGCATATCAGTATAAATGGAATTGGACGTCCCGGGTAGCTCAGATGGTAAAGAATCCGCCTGCAATGTGAGAGATGTGGGTTTGATCCCTGGGTTGGGAAGATCTCCTGGAGGAGGGCATGGCAACCTAGTCCAGTATTCTTGCCTGGAGAATCCCCATGGACAGAGGAGGTAGATAGGCTCTGGTCCATGGGGTCACAAAGAGTCAGACACAACTGAGTGACTAAGCACACACGTGAATGGAATTAATAATGTATTTCAGTGGAAATTTGTCACCATATCACTTGAATAAAGGACACCTGTCTGGAATATTATCACAAAAACACGATCCATAGAGAGATTCTCAGTTTCTATACAACTTCAATCAAACACAGTTCACATCAACAAGTAACATATTTATTCATAAAGCTCATCAGAACCTTGAAGTTCCCCCAGGCAGTCAAGCATTGTTGTATAAACAAAGCCTCAAGGTGCAAATTAATAGAAGTTTTTGGTTGCCAGAATATCATATAAAAATTCCTATGTAAAACATTTCTGTTCATATCACCTTGTCTTACATGTTAGAGAATCAAAACCCATCAAACCAATTACTTTGTTTAGTTTACAAAGAGGAGTGTGGTTACTGGAAAAATACTGGGCAAAGAAAACCACGTCCAATTTTGAAACAAGCACCTATTCATTGAAACTGCATTTATTGCTTCTGAAACCCAACATGACAGTGGATGTGGATAATGGATATTCTGTGGAATCCAGAGGTGGACGTGATGGTATTTGCAGATTCGTTTCCTGATTTCTTGGCTTTAATAGCTGTCCATCATTCTGAGGCTTCCTAATCAAAAGTGGAGAATTGTGTTTGTGGAGAAATCCTATTTTGATTAAATGAGAAGCATGCTTGTCCAATTTTTCCCCCTAATAGCAGCAGTAGCTTCTGAGTGGGGTAATAAGACAAGATACTGTCTCCATGGCAAAGACCTTACAAGTTTAGGTACGGGAGGAAGAAGGAACAGAGCAATAGAAGTAAATTATTAAGTGCAAATCATGATCCATCATTGGATCACCTACTGTGGACTGAATCGTTTCTTCTTAATAGTCGTGTGTTAAACCCTCACCCCTGAGGTGACTGTATTTGGAGATGGTTCTGTGTGTGTGTGTGTGTGTGTGTGTGTGTGTGAGTTGCTTAGTTATGTCCGACTCTCTGCAACCCCATAGACTGTAGCCCACCAGGCCCCTCCATCCATGGGATTCTCCAGGCAAGAACACTGGAGTGGGTTGCCATTTCCTTCTCCAAAAGGAACTATGGAAAGAAAGAAAGTGAAGGCGCTCTGTCGTGTCAGACTCTTTGCGACTCCATGAACTGTAGCCTACCAGGCTCCTCCATCCATGGGATTTTCCAGGCAAGAGTACTGGAGTGGATTGCCATTTCCTTCTCCAGGGAGGTGGTGCTATGAGGAGGTAATTACGGTTAAATGAGGTCATAAGGGTGGGCTCTGAACCGGTAGTGTTAGTGTCCGTGTGGGAAGAATCCCAGCCTGTCCTTCTGTGCTGGCTGCACGCGAGCGCACTGGGAAGGCAGCGCGGGGTGGTTTAGTCGCTGAGCTGTGTCCCGCTCTGCGAGCCCGTGGACTGTGGCTCTCCAGGCTGTTCTGTCCGTGGGATTTCCCAGCAAGAGCACTGGAGTGGGCTCCCACTTCCTTCTCCAGGGCGTCTCACCCACTCGGGGCTGGACCTGGGTCTCCTGCACCTGCAGGCAGGTTCTCCCCTCCTGTGCCGCCAGGGAGGCCCGGTGGGACGGCCTCTGTCTGCTCACCAGGAGACCTCAGTGGAACCTGGACGAGCCCGCACCTTGGTCCTGTACGTCCCAGCCTCCAGGCCTTTGAGAAGACACGCCTCCGCTGCTATAAGCCTCCAGAGCTGTGGTCTCTTGGGCTGCCTGAGGCACCTGCGTTTGTGGGTATGTGTTTCTGTGGGGTCAGTAGGCAGCAAACCCATCGCACTGAGGTTTGACTGCGAAGTTTCGGATACCTTGTTTGTGTTACCTGCTCCCCTTGTGCTGATGGGAGGAAGTCAAGTTAACAAGTACGTATCATGGGGTTTCAGCAACTTGCGTCTCTGCTCACGTAATCACATTTCCACTGTTTTCTCTATTTACTCAGTGACATTTACTTGATATTTAAGATCCACTCAGGCATCCTCTTATTACAAAATCATTTATAAAATCCCAAAATCGTCTGTGTCTCAGCTTCAAAGAGAACTTATGTATTATACTTACTATACATTCACTGGAAATATTCATTTATTATGAATATTTATGAATAACATTTATGAATAGTATTATACACAAATATTATTTGTTAATATTTACCAACTATTCAGTGGAGCAGGGGTTAGCAGACGATCAGATCGGTTCTGGCCTGCCACCTGCTTGTCTTATGACCTGAGATATAAGCATGTCTCTACATTTTAAAATTGTCAAATGTTAAATGCTTGCCTACATAGTATCCTCATTTTTGCCTCTTGATGTACAAAGATAAAATCTTT